ACGCGTTTAAAATTGGAAAGTGATGAATCTATATTCATATATTTGAAGTCGGTAATTTTGTCTTCTCAAATTAGATTTCGGTAAATCGAATGATATTTCGATTTCACGGTATGTTCTTGATTAATATAATATGCATGCGTATATTTGTTATGTAACCTTCGTGGACAAATCCTCCTTTCTTCGGCAACCCAATAATTTGATTTCTCTTAACTATGCTCCCCTATAGTCAAAATATTCGAGTCATGTCCAATACGAAATCGATCAAGGGGGAATTTGAAATTTGCACCTTTTCTCATGTCATGTACATTCAAAACTACGTGGACTGGAAAATACTAAGCTAGATCGCAAGATTGTGTAGGATAATGCAATTAAAGTCAAAAAGAAATTTCTACAGATGGTTAGGAACTGCAATTTTCTACTCCAATTTAATCTATGAAATCCCAACAATAATTTGTCTAAATTCTTTAATTTCATTTCATGTTTGAATTACTCCTCATAATATGATAGATCAAAACTTAAGATATTAAAACTCAAAGTAACAGTGAAATTTGAAGATTATATTTCTTAAATGGGACATCGCATTGTGACGTCATGTTGAAGGTTCGATTATTTTTCTTATCAAGTTTGATCTATAAAGATAGACCTCAATACTGTATATACTATTTGAATACATATATAGTAAGCAAACAAGATTTGAGCATATTCTTGGTATATTTGGTGTCAACCTCATGCTGCGAATTATGATCCCACGTCTTTTACTAATGTTCATCTTGTTGAAGTTTTCTTGTATTATTTGGTGTCACCCTTTTGAATTTGAAGAACAAAGATTTCTGTATATTCTTGGTTTATTTGGTGTCACCTTCATGCCACCGATGATCCAATGTCCTTTACATATTAACATCATTTGCTTAAGCCGTTCTTGATTCAAAAACAGCATATAATTGCTCGTCTCTATGTATGATTCAATATGCTTATTAAAACCAACTTTGTTAATGGTGACAGTGATAATCATAGCGACCGCTAGCTAAAATAGTTGATAAAAATATTTTTTATCAACTTTTTAAATACACATTTCATCAATATTTATCAAAGTCCAATAACTAAATGTTTAAATCAGTCATCATAGATTATTAAAAGAGCACGACCATCACTATATTACGGTTTTTAAGTTTCTATCATCTTTTATGAATTATGGAAAGCTAAAATTAATGGAGTGCTTGTTTCTTCATTTAGCAATTTATCGTTATCATGACTGAGGCTAACTCCGATGTTATACTCCATTAATCTCATTTATATGGGCTAGTTTTGTTTTTCACACGAATTAAGAAATCTTATTTAATGTTATTGAAAAAGTAATTTTGCCAAAAGAAAAAAAAATAGTTTACCCTGATTTAATTATCAAAAACTAGTAGTAAATTATGTTGGAAGTAGAAAAGAAATTGGAAAATTTAATTTTCAATTCTCGCATTCACAAACGTGTGTATGTATTTGGATGCTTTAAAAAAGTATATATCTTTATATTTGTACAATTTCAAGGTTAAATGGAGAAAATTAGTTATAATTAGACAAATTTTTAAAAAAAAAGACTATATAATTGGGACAAAAAAATAAGGAAAGCCAATCTATATAAATGGGACGTGGAGTACAAGAATTCAAAGTCATAATTGTTTTGTAAAGATAAAAAACTTCATTTGCATTGTTTCAATGTGCTTTGTTACTTTTCAATGTGATACAAAAACAAATTTGTCTTTGATGTAGAATATGCCTATCCGTTCACATTGATCATTGGATGTTTATTGACCACGTTAAAAACATAATGTCATATAAAATCAAATACAAACAATTGTGACTATTTTGAGAAAGACATTAATATAATTTGAAACTAATTATTTAGTTAAACAAAAGTGTAATTATCACGAGCATGTTTATATATAGTTTCATCTGTCGAACATCATAACTTTTATCGTGGGTAACTTCGCAAACATACAATTGTTATTTTTAATCTCATTCTGTAATAATAATAATAAATCTACCAGACAACATTTTTCTTCCTAAAAGTCCGTTTCATCTTTTGAATGGTACCTAGGGGCCCACTTTCTTCGCTATCTGGAATATTTACCAAGATTCAATGTCCCCTCCTTGGGGAAAACAGTAGGAATGGAGAAAATGGTACAAAAGAAAAATCAAATGCATGCTGGATCAATCTAGGAAGTAGGGTTGATTTGAGATAACTTTTTTTTGTCATCCACACGAGTACATGATTAGACTTGCTGTTGGTGATCTCTTGTAGGTCAGTTAAAATTCGCTCAAGAAAATCACTGCAAGAAAACAAGAACGATCCTTAGTTAGAATCCTGTTGTAGGTCAGTTAAAATTCGCTCAAGAAAATCACTGCGAGAGAACAAATAACGATCCTTAGTTAGAATCCTGCTATGAGCACAGAGACTTTTGCCAGAAAACATACAAAAATTTGAAATGAAGAGAAATGATTGAAAGATTGGAGGAGGGAAAATACACATACACGAACAAGATTGAAGCATTTCAAATTTCTGTCAAAAATTCCTGTTCTCAAGGAATTTTTCCCTTATTGGTTGAAGAAGATTTTATGTAGCGTACGAACCAGTTTTAAAGTGAATGATTTTAGAAAGAATGAGAGAGCTCGAATAAAGAATTATGAGGGACCAACAACTAAAAGAAAATTATCACTTTTTAGCAACTTCTAGTTCTAATCGTGAACCAATGATACTTTAACGTGAATGCATCGATGAATAGTTGAGTTTAAAAGTCTATGAGTAATGGAACTGCCCACGTTGCCCCAGATAATTGGACAACCCTATGACGTTTATGAGGCTATTGTTTGAATATCATTAATATTATCAAATGCCAATGAAGTCAAACATTGTAAAAGACATGGAGAAACTTCCCGTGATTTAGCGAAGGTGGACATATAAAGCAAAATAAATATATTTATTTATTTATTATTTTTTTTTTTCGTGCAATCCTTTTTCTACAATGTAAAATGTAGGACAAAAAAATATTTCCAACAGAAATGTGTACGATAGGCTAATAAATAAGCACGACTAAAAAAGAGAAACATGTATTGTCGCGTTTGGATTAAAATTCAATTAAAATTTTAAGTCAAAGTTAACAATTAATTTTAACGGCATATTTTATCATCAACTTTTATTAAAATTCATTAAAATCCTAATTTTAATCTCCATCAAATAGGGTCTTATATATCTATTTAAGAAACGTATCTGTTTCACGAGTTAGAAAAAAGTAGTCAACTTTGTAGAGCATTCAACTTTGAGTTTGCGACTGAAAAGGGAAAATAAAAACAAAGGCATTGCTTCACCATTGTTGGACTAATCAGAAAAGAACAAAAGCAATATTATAGAATTATTTCAGTATAATAATTGATTTGAACATAAGACAATAATTATTGGGTTGTTAAGAAAATAAAATTTAATCATCTTAATAAAAGTGATGATCTCAAATAAAGAATATGTTAGGAGATATTTAAATTAGACAAGAATATCAAAATCTACTTGATAAAATCCAACTCTAGAACATCACGAGAGATCAACTTTACTACGAAAGTTGATCTTATCGTGACGTCATGGTTAGATATCAATTTCAATGTAAATGGATTAATATATATCACACACATTGGCCAATTGTGGAAATATTTTCACAAGTGAAAGACTTTTGCACCAAATTGAATACAATTTTTTCTTTTCTCAATTATGTTGTTTTGCCAGAAAGAAAATGCCACCTTGATTGACATATATTCACATGGAAGTGAAATCCATGTGAATAAAAAAAGGTCAAAAGTATCATCCCCTATTGTGAGGAGTCTGTCATGAAGGATGTCAAATCATCCCTAGCAGCATAGCGGTATTTATTTAATTTATTTTTTATGAATCATTGTTCAACAATTCAATTAGTACGAACAATTAGTTTCTTTGAAGAACAAGTTGTAAACAATTCATAATTAATGAAAGAGGTAAGTCCTTAATTATAATTGCTTGTGGGTAAAAGCAAAATGAAACAACTTGCTCATCGAAGAAACTAATTGTTAAAATCAAGTCATGTCAACAATTAATTTTAACCATATATTTCAAGAAAATCATATTTTTTTCAACCATACAGTTTATTAATTTTATCAATTTATTATAAACCTTATATTAATCTACATCAGGTATTAAAAAGATACTCATTAAATAAATTATTAGAAATGCTTGAATTGCTCAAACAAAACTGATTAGGTAAATATTTAATTGCTCAAATTTATTAGTAGAATAATGCTATTTATTATTATAATATTGAAATATTGGTGACGTGATAATTTATATGGAATATGACAGTTCAATCCCCCTCTCATGAAAATTGCATTGTCATGTCAATTATTTTACCTAACTTGTCACATTACCGATTTTTATTATTATAATGATAAATAGCATTGAAACACCTTTGACTATTTGCGATTTCAGCTCTACAGTTTTACCACCGACACACGTCTCATATATTTTATACAGAATTGAAAATAAATACATTTAATTTTTTAAATTATTTATTTAAGATTCGTTTGTACATTTTTTAAAATTTACAGACTGTGATTGGAATTGATTCTTTATGTTTTTTTTATTTAAATAGGGAGGTATATTAATCATTCTATAAGATTTTATTGAGAAAATGAAAGAAAATATTGTATTTCGCACCGAAAATGTTTTAGGGGGGTTTCCGTCAAAATAAAAGGATAGAGATATATTTGACAATGGGATAAAGGTCAGGAGGTTTTGTGCTATTTACTCTAAAATTAACATCAAAATGCTGGCACAGGAATGATAATCATCCGCACGTGAGGGACCATTTGTCTTACATTTTGGCCCTATAAAATGGTCATCTATTCTTCTCCTAAACTACCCCGCATCCTCCTTGTGTCGCCCAATTCCAATACTTTGTTAGGAAGAAAAAAGGGACCAAAGAAATCTGTAAAACATGTCTAGCCCTGAAAATATTTTACAGGATGATAACATAGAAGAAATTCCTCAAAAACTCCAAGGGAAAAAACTTTCTTGGAATAAACTGAGAAGGAATGACTCCCTCGACATGGAATCTGGCAAGTTAAACGGCCACCACCACCACCACCACCGCTCCAAGGTCCGTCTACCTATATCCCTTATTTCTTTTACCGCATATTTTGCAGAATATATCCGTGACAACAAGATATATATGTGTTTTGTGTGCAGAGTGGAAATTGGAGTTTGATACTGCATCTTGCATTTCAGAGCATCGGAGTGGTGTATGGAGACATAGGGACGTCACCTATGTACGTATATGCGAGCACCTTCGCAGACGGTATAAAACACAACGATGATATACTCGGAGTTCTCTCCTTGATTTTCTACACCATCACTTTAATCCCTCTCATCAAGTACGTCTTCATCGTTTTACGTGCAAATGACAATGGCGACGGTAAACTTTAAGATTCTCTCTGCTTATCCCATGTGTACATGCATGTGTTTGTATATAAAATTGTAGATCTAAGTATACTTCGAATTTAGTGGTAAAAAAATAGTCAACTCAAAAATTTATCGCGCCCGTCGTACTTTACTAATGAGAACTCAATTATATGTTGAAGGGTTTGTTTAAGACTTATTTTTCAAATTAACTATGAGATTCGGATCAAATTAATTATTCGTTACATATGAAAACATCCTCATTGAAGTTTCAATATAACATTTGTTTGACGCATTTGTTTTAAAATAAAAAGCCTTATTTTCCGAATTAGATATGCGAATTGTATCGTTGATGATTTGTCACATATGAAAACATCCTCGTATCAAGTTTCAATATTGTGTTTGTTTGATACGTTTTATTTGAGTCATTTTTCTTCGTTTTTAACCACAAATTCTCTTAATAAAATAATTTTGAAATTTAAATTAATAATTTTATTCTTACTCTTTAATTATACTTTTCACTTCAGATAATCTAAGTATTTGGTGGTGGTACTCTAGGTGTGGCTTTATCTGGTGAAGATGTTTTCTTAAACCTCAAAAAAGTAGTTGGAAAATTTTAATTTTTTTTTTCTTTTTCTGCTTTTGTCATCACATGGTTTTAAATTTTCAACAATAGTGGCTACGTGGTAGCAAAGTAAGTAACTATTCATATTCAATTGCCTATTATTGTTTGACTTATTAATTAATTATTCACAGCCTGAAACTCCTCGTTATTATCTTCACCAAGAGATTATAAATTTAGAGGGACACGTGGAAGCATTATATAGGGAGTTTAATCAAATGGAATATGTGGTATTTGTATATGGATCGAAAATAAAAATAAATAAAAGCTATATATCATTGGTTGATAAATTATAATGATGTTTGGTATTAATGTTTTTGTAGGCGGGACATTTGCTCTATACTCTCTGATTTGTCGATATGCGAAGGTGAGTTTAACCCCGAGTCAACAAGTAGAAGATAGAGAGGTGTCGACTTTTCAGCTTGAATTGCCTAATAATCGGACGGAAAGAGCTTCGAGACTCAAAACCAAATTAGAAAACAGCATATTTGCCAAGTTCTTCCTGCTCTTTGCCACTATGCTTGGTACTTCCATGGTGATTGGAGATGGTGTCCTCACTCCATGCATTTCAGGTACATTAATACTTCCATGGGGATTGGAGATGGTGTCCTCACTTCCATGACTTTCTACGCATACACGCATGCATGACTTTTTAAACGGTTGAAGATTAACTTTTCTAACTCTTCCAACAGTTCTGTCCGCCGTGGGAGGAATCAAGGAGGCCAAAGAGTCCATTTCTGAGGGTATGGATTCCAGTTCCACGTGCAAGCTTAAGTCACCAACGTTGAATCCTTAAATTACATCATAGTCGTTGATTTTCCATCATGATTCGAATGTAGAATTTTCTAACAATTTGACTTTTGATATTCACACAGAAGTGTTGAAATAAATGCCACAACAAACATTTAAAAATTGTATTTCCAAAGTGATTGAAGAATATTCCTTTGGTTAGAGGTAATAATTGAGGTTTTTTAATTCATTTTCGGAAAAGGGATTGAATCTGGACATCATGATAAAGAATTGCATTATTAGACATTATAGTACGATTGTTTCTTGATTATATCAAAGTTGTCTTGTAGTTAATTTTTCATGTCACATGTTTTCCCTACTTAGGTGGAGCCTGCCCCCTATTTCTATTTTCTTCTTTTTTGGAGGTTGAGGAAGAATAATTTTGCATTAACTAACAAATCGAGTGATAAAAAGAAATGATATAGTCGGTCGTAATGTTATTGAGTTATTATTATTTGTTATATTCCAAGGCAATTAATATTTTCGAGAACGAGTGAAAATTTTGTAACATATCGTATTTGGATATTTTTGTGAGCAGATACGGTAGTTTGGGCTTCAGTCGCAATCTTAGTACTTCTATTCATGGTCCAAAGATTTGGTACAGACAAAGTGGGATACAGTTTTGCTCCCATAATTTGTGTTTGGTTCTTATTCATTGCTGGCATTGGTGTCTACAATTTCATCAAATTTGACCCTTTAGTTGTCAAAGCTATAAATCCAAAATACATTGTGGATTATTTCAAGAGAAACAAAAAACAAGCATGGATTTCCCTTGGTGGTGTAGTTCTCGCTATAACAGGTACACATACATATATATATATACACTCTAACGATATTGTTTGTAAAGTTGGTTGGAAACCTTTTTATTTGCTTTAAGGAAACTTATAATGTTCACTTGTTGGACCATGTAAAGATCACATCAATTTCCATATAAATTTAATGTAATTTGAAGTCAAAGAATGGAGAAAAAGTCGAGTAAAATTTCAACAAAACTTCGGTATTCCGTATATTTTTTACTAAATCGCAATCCAAAGTAGGAGTAATTTTTGAAATGTTTATCTTGTTGTGCAGGAACTGAGGCATTATTTGCAGATGTTGGTCATTTCACGGTTAGATCCATACAAATAAGCATGTGTAGTGTCACTTATCCAGCACTCATATTAGCATACGCAGGACAAGCTTCCTTTCTTCGAAAGCACAATGGTTTGGTTTTAGATACCTTCTATAAGTCTATACCAGGTGAGGACCTAGGCATTTCTTGTACTATTTACTAAACTTAGTATATTGTTTCATTAACAATACATAGTTTGATACGTGTGGTTACAGGTCATTTGTATTGGCCAACGTTCGTGGTGGCTATCTTGGCTTCGATCATAGCAAGTCAAGCGATGATATCAGGCACTTTCTCAATAATTCAACAATCTCTTTCCCTCGGTTGTTTCCCTCGCGTTAAAATAGTTCATACATCTACTGAGTACGAAGGGCAAGTTTACATTCCTGAAATCAATTACCTTCTTATGATGGCTTGTATTTTTGTAACTATTGGATTCAGAACCACTACAAAAATTGGCAATGCCTATGGTATGTATCCATCCTTAAATAGTTTTTGTTTAAATTTTTCCAGAACATTTTTAATAATATTTAGCTAATTATAATTTTTTTTTTAAATGTACAGGAATAGCTGTGGTGTTTGTAATGACCCTAACATCAGCATTTCTAGTTTTGGTCATGATCATTATTTGGAAAACTCACATAGTACTTATAATTCTATATGTGGTAATAATTGGCTCGGTTGAGCTTGTCTATCTAAGCTCAGTCCTTTACAAATTCGATGAAGGAGGATATTTACCTATCGCATTTGCACTTTTCCTAATGTCAGTAATGTACATTTGGAATTATGTGCATCGAAGAAAGTACGATTTCGAGCTAGATCACAAGATTTCTCCGGATAAAGTAAAGGAGATCATGACAGAAAACAATTCCTACAGGTTGCCAGGGCTTGCAATTTTCTACTCCGAGTTAGTCCATGGAATCCCACCAATTTTCAAGCATTATGTTGCCAATGTACCAGCATTGCACTCGGTTCTGGTTTTTGTGTCCATTAAATCATTACCTATAAGCAAGGTGCCGATTGAAGAAAGATTCTTGTTTCGTAGGGTGCGACCAAATGATTTTCACGTGTATCGTTGTGTTGTGCGATATGGATACACTGATATACGGAATGAGCATGAACCTTTCGAAAAGCTTCTTGTCGAGGGATTGAAGGTCTTCATTAGAGAGGACTACATGGGCATGGCCAACGCTTTAGATCGAGCAGAAGAGGATTATGAGGCAAAAGATGATGGTTCAAGTAAAGGAGAAGGTGTTGATGATGAGATTGCAAAACAAGTTGAGATCGAAAAGGAGGAGGAAATCATAAATAGAGATATTGATGCATTGGAAAAGGCTTGGAAGTGTGGAGCGGTGCATTTTGTGGGTGAACATGAAGTAGTTGCAAGCAAGGGTGCTAGCATTGTCAAGAGGATTATAATAGATTATGCTTATAATTTTTTGAAGAGGAACTTGAGACAAACGAATCAGGTATTTGATATTCCTCAGAAAAGGATGCTTAAGGTGGGAATGACATGTGAGCTTTAGTGTGTGTGTGTGTGTCTATATATATATATCAAAGATTTTCAATAATGTTTCGATGTATTTCTTTTCTATTTTTTAGATGCTTTTCGTCGTAACTAACGTTTCTCTAAACGTAATTGTTTGGCAAGGCTATTTAGAGTCATCAACATGGTAGAGCCAAAAAATTGGTTTAGCGGAGGCCTAATATTTTCAAATATATCTATATTGCAATGTATTGTCAAAATTCTTACTTTCAGTATTTAGCTCTCTACTTCTAATTCAGTTGGTTGCAATTTCTTTGACCTTTTTCACTTCAACTTCCTTTAAATGGACGGTGAAGATTGATTCTTTTATTTATTTATTTATATTTTATTTCTAAATTATTTTTTATAAATATTATGGATTCTTCTAGCAATGTTGTTTCTACATCCTTTTAGACACACTATAAATTTCGTGCAACTTACATTGGACATACTGTTACAAAATTCTGTTCCATCCCTCCTCTTTATTCTAAAGTAATCCTGTAAGTACTTTAAGAATGGCATCAATAATTGAAAATAAATCAAAAGAAGAGATGTTGGTTCACAAATTAATACGAGCATCATCAATATTTTATTGGCTTTGCGAATCGAAGGGGATGTTGTGAAGTACGATGTGAGTATTTCAAAGCGATACAATGATTTTACCTAAGTTCAAGTATTATAGTTCGCATTGATTTATGAAGTGGTATAATGAAATGGGAAATAAAATAAAAATTAGAAATATGTATATATGCATCTGACTTTGTATATAAATGGGAATGTAGCAATAATTATGGGTTCACTAGCTAGCATGTATTTTTATTTTCATGGTTGTAATAAATAGGTGGGATCCACATAAATTTAGAAATGTAGTCATAATTAAGAAACAATAAGGTGCATATTGACAATATAATGAGTTAATAATCACACTTATCTGGGAAAATCCAACCGTCAAACATGAAATATCAATTAATGTAAAAGTTTTAACTTGAGTTTAGGAGCATAAAATCAATCTTAAATATCCTTCCTTAGGTAATGGAAGAAATTTCGTTACTAAGCTATTCTGTAAGACTAATATTTTGACTTTAAAAAAATTCAAAACGTTACAATAATATGAATCATTTTTTGATTCAAAGCAGTCACTTAGCTGAATGAAGCAAGATCCTTTTAACTGCATCACCATCGTATCTTTAAAATTTCTCCACTTACTACAACCTTATTCACAATATACTTGTTCGTGCGAAATCCGCAAGTGTACGAAATCGTTGACAAGTAATATATTTGATGAGTTAAAAGTATCGTCCCAAAGAAAAAAATTCAATTCAAGTTTACTAATTTCGTAAAGAATTCGATTTATGTAAACAAAAAGATTTGATTTTTATGATTATTATAAATTAATCTAAAAATATGTAAAAAAAAATATTTTTTTATCAAATTATGAATGATTGTATTGGATTTTGAATTTGCACATTGCTATTTAATTCAATTCTTGATTTGTAATCTAGTTTCGTTCATGCGTTCTTGATAATTTTCTTTTCCGAGACAAATTAAATATATTCTAACCACGATCCGAATGATTAGAATGAATTAAAATTTAGATTATATATATGATTGCACACGTAATAAATGTTATTCCTAACATCTATTGCACATATGTTAATTTTACCGCGTTCTAAACTTATTGTGAGTCTTCCAAGACTACAAAAGAAAACTAATTATTTAATTGGTGACCAATCAATTAAATAATGCAATGTATATTCAAAATTAATCAAGAAACGCAAGAAATAAACGAAACTAATAATCTTGAATTAAAACAAATAAACAATAAGGTTCATCTTCATCCGAGACAAAAACAGATCTAGCATAACGTATTAATATATATCACAAGGAGAGTAATAGAAAAATATCACTTTAATCATAAAATAATTCAAAAGATGTTGATCTTCATGCCCAATATTGAATTCTTCAAAATCTTGATGTAATTGACCTTAAATTCTTTGCTAGGGCTTGATCTCCTCTCTCAAAATATAGCAACTAGCCTCTTGTTTTTGATGAATTTGATGATATTATTGTGTATGAAGAGGCAATAGAGATTTTTTTTTTTCAATGTGTAGCCCTCTTTCTTTATTTATGAGCCAGCAAGTATGTCAAAATCTTGTCCAGTTTGGATTTCAAAAGAGTTTAAATTGCGAAATGAAACTACTTATTCAACTGCAGAAATGACCCGAGCGTGTACACAGGCATAACCACTGCTCGCGCGCCATTGAACCAAGTGGCTCTCAGGTTGGGGAAAATAGGGTACCGTGCGCGCTATGAAAGGAAATTGTCGATTCATTTACGGAAATGGTTGAGCGCGTGCACAGGCACAACCACCGCCCACGCACCATTGAGCCAAATGGCTCTCGGGTTGGGGAAATAAAGTACCCCGGGCGCGCCATGAATTGTCAGTTCGTGCGCCCAAGTTCGCTTTGATTCGTCCATGAGCAGTTTTCGATATTTTGGCCATAATTTTCTCTACAAATATTCAATTGAGGTGATTCAAAATGCTTTGAAAATTTAATTGAAATGGATACAAATCTTTTAGAATTGAAATTTTTTCAATTTGAACATTTACTATCTGAAAAATAGGTTTCAAGTTGTGGCTAAAAATGTGGAACATAACTTCTTGATTTGTGAAAATAATTTCACTATATTTAACTCATTTGACCTCCAATTGCATCCAATTGATGATATTTAATCATCATTTTGTGGTCCAAATCAACTATTGCATGTTTACACTTTGGTCCACAAACTTTGAAATTACTTCGTTTTCACACTTTTTAGTTTATTTCTTCCAATTCCATCAATTTGCATTGAATTCAACCTGACAAACATAATTAACACAAAATTAAATTATAATTCATCAAAATCGCTAACGAATACTCTAATTTAACGCCCCAAATAAGTGTATAAAATACACTTATCAATACTCACACTCCCAATAAAACTGCAACTACTCTTTTTTTCTAACTTGTTCTGTAGACCTAATAATAAAAAATCATCATTACCTTAATTTCTCCGTATGTATCACTTTCACTTGCTGGTAAATATCTTTATTTTAAATCAAATTGAATTGATTCAATTCTGGTGTAGGTAGAGCATCCGTCTTAGCATCATCATTTTTACAATATTTATCCTATATATGTTTGTACTATAGTGTTTGATTATTCTAAAATAATCCACTAGCGACAACATTGGGATTTCAACCCAAAGCCCCCTAAAGTTGAATCTATGTCATTTCTGTGCACTTTGTTCTCAACTCTCTTCTTATGAACTTTTCTAGCTTCCCTAGAACCCACCCAAGAAAAATTTGTCAATCCATAAACCTCTTGCCTTGTGTGTTCGAGAGGAGTTTGGGAAGATTGTTGGATCTCATAACCTTTTTCAAATCTTACAATCTGGGGATGTTCACTTGACCTTATCAAAGCATCAGCTTCTGGTGCCAAAAAGATTGCTTAAAATGTTACTCATGCAACCACAACGAATGATCAGGATAACACACTCGTCACTCGTCGTTCCACTCTGCTCGATGTGCTCCACTCCCTCACTTCCACTCCAACATCAGCCTTCTTTTCCAATATACATATGTTTTTCACTCCATATAACCCACAAAAATATTACAACATATATAACAAGAATGGTAGATTTTTTGGGTCGACTGCTCGAATCAAGTTTCGGGTAATGAAATGGAAACTGTTTTTCCAGGTTGGACCAAAGCATTGGCATCACGAACTGTATTTTCAAATTTCCATTAATTAGTACATTTGGTCATTCAAATGGGATTTGTCTCTTGATAATCGAGAGGTCAATCCACGTATGAATTGAGGCCACTTAAAGCCCACCTATGCAACATACCTGTCATACATACCGAAAACGACGAAGTTCTAAAATCTTATAGAATTAAACTTTTTGTACACCCTTTGTGTACAATAAATTTGGCATCTCAAAATGTGTCGAAATCTGTATCATTGATTGTTAAAAGTATCGTTAAAATCAATATATAAATAACTTCCATGCCATAATAAAGTCAGATTTGATATACATTTAGCAAAAATGAATCTTGTAACATTGTTGTTTCAATGAAAGAACAAAAAGTACTGTATTTTTCAACTAGTCTAATCTTAGAACTGCAACATTTTGGGACAACCACTAACATCTCAAATTATTTAATTATCGCTAATTATGGGCGGTGATGATGTGAAAACCAAGAGCTAATCCTCTGCAGTAACAATTTCCTTCAATTATTGAAACTGGGGCTTTGGAGTGTTGCACAATTATATGCATGGAAGGTAAAAGTACAACAAAAGGGTAAAGTTGACCAAAAAGTACAATATTGTTGAGCTTGTCACAAGAATTTGCCAATGCAGAAGATCAGCTTCTCTAGACAATTGATTGATGATTTGAAGTTGGTTTGCTTTTAGAATGAAGTGTTGTTTTAATTATTATTACCTTTTTGCGATCTTCTTTTCTCAAGTCAAAAAGGTCTAAGATTGCATTGAAGAAAGAAGAACCGTACATGTTGATGATATATTGCATACAAACTTAGACACCAAAATATGAGACAATCAACAAATTATATTTATCGCATCATTTTTCATTGATTCGAATATAATATTAACTAAGTACCAACGGACGGATGGATAAGCCCGTCAAGTACTACGAATAAGATTTTAATTCACTTAGAACATGTTTGGTGCACATTATGAAATCAAGAATGCATTTTTTTTAATGATGTGATGGGGGGATATGTGGTTGAAAAAGAAGGAAAAGTTATTGATGTGATTGGAAAATATTATTTTATTGAAGAATGTGTGATTGAAAATGAGTATAAGAATGAGAATGAAAAAAAATAATGTAAATCAAACAGGGCTTAATATCTAATAATGTGAACGGAGGTGCAATGATATTTATCTCTAAGGTGCCTAGTATGTCAAAAATTCCATAGACTAGTTATAGCCTAGAGCA